CCTCTTCCTCCTCCTCTTCCTCTTCTTCCTCCTCCTTCTCCTCTGCGCCTCGCGTTCCCTTTGATACAGCTTCTTCTGCCGTCACTCCCGCCTTAGTCACGCGTGACTTCGTCACGCCTCCTGACTTAAACCGTCCGGACTCACTCAGTCCCGACCCTCTCGGCTCTGACTCAACCACGCCTCCACTCAAAGCCCCACCCGACAGCTTACCTTCAGATGCTGCCCCTGCCACACCTCTCCCCTGGACTCCTCCTTTTTCCCTTTCTTCCTCTTCCTCCGCCTCCTCCTCCTCCTCCTCTTCATCCTCAGTCCCCTCCTCTTCTTCATCCACCGCCCTCCCTGCCTTCTTACCACCAGAACCATCAGAAGCTAACCCAGAAGCAGCACGGGAGCCAGCACCCAAATCAGCACTGCTGGCACCACTAGCAACACCACCACCAGTGCCAGTATAGCCACCACCAGTCGCAGCATTAGCAGTAAGGGAAGAGCCAGTCTCCGGAGGCCCCTTCCCCACCACACTCGTCCCTTCCACCTCCTCGGGATCCCCACCACCACCACTACCACCACCTCCTCTGCCACTACTCCCGAAATCAGTGCTGCTGGTTGCTCCCTTATAAGCTGATTCGCTACTGCCAGATGGAACAGCGCCACCGGGAAAAGCCCCACCGGCAGTAAACCCACTTCTTCCAGCATCAACGGCAGTGCCTCTTCCTCCTCCTTTCCTCTCACCTTCTTCTTTTTCTTCCTTCTCGTCCTCTTCCTCTTCCTCTCCCTCATCTTCCTCTCCTTCGCCCTCATCCTCTTTCTCCTTCCCAATCGCTCCTGCACCAGATAACTCTGCGCCCTTGCTGAGCTGGGGCGTCTCAAAACGAGTAGCACTTGCACCAGATAGATCTGTACCCTTTGTGCTGCCAAAACCAGTACCACCAGCAGCACCACCAGCAACACCTACACCAACACCAACGGCATCTCTTGCCTGGCTCTTCACTCCTTTGACCATGCCCTCACCTGAACCTTCCTTCTCTTCCTCCCCTTCTTCCTCCTCCTCTTCCTCCTCCTCCTCTTCGCCCTTCTCACCTTTCCTCTCTCCTTCGCTTTTTGCACTTGCAGCATCTCCCTCCTGCACCCCTTCAGTCGCCCCTGTCCCTGCCCTTGTCCCTGTTCCTCTCCCTGTCCCTGTCCCTGTCCCTGTCCCTGTCCCTGTCCCTGTCCCTGTCCCTGTCCCTGTCCCTGTCCCTGTCCCTGTCCCTGTCCCTGTCCCTGTCCCTGTCCCTGTCCCTGTCCCTGTCCCTGTCCATCTCCCTGCTGCTGTCCCTGCCCCTCCTCCCGCCCTCTCTGCACTCACTGCATTTGCTCCTGCCCATGCACCGGCTTTGCTCCCTACCTCTCCTTTCTCCTCCTCTTCCTTCTCCTCCTCTTCCTCCTCCTCTTCCTCTTCCGCTTTCTCCTTCACCGCACTGCCACTGCCAGCATCAGTCTTCAACGGGTACAGTGAGCTCTCAGCACCTCCAGCTGTAGCTGTACCAGCTGTAGCGGCTGTAGAAGGCACTGTAGCGCCAGTAGCTCCAGCGCCTGTAGCTGTGCGCGACGCAGTTCCTTGCTTGGCTTGGGACGTCTTCTCCTCTGCCTCCTCTTCCTCCTCCTCCTCTTCTTCTTCTTCCTCTTCCTCTTTTTCCTTCTCCTTCTTGACCGCACTGCTGCCAGAAGTTTGCAGTGGAAAACCAAACTTGCCAGTGCCAGTGCCAGCAGCTGTAGCCGCCACAGAAGCAGCCCCAGCTGCGTCAGTTCCCACTGTGGTACGAGGCATGAATGCTTTCTTGGCTACTGATGTTTTCTCCTCTCCCTCTGCCTCCTCTTCCTCCTCCTCCTCCTCCTCTTCTTCTTCTTCCTCTTTCGTATCCTTGATCGCACTGCCAGCAGCAGTTCGCATCGGCGAAATAGAGCTGCCAGTGCCCGCAGCTGTAGCCGCTACCGCAGCAGCCCGACCTGTGTCAGTTCCAGTTGTGGTAATGGCTGTGGCTCCTTCCTTTGCTTGTGACGTCTTCGCCCCTGCTTCCTCCTCTTCCTCTTCTTCCTCCTCAGCCTCCTCCTCTTCCTCTTCTGCACTTTTCTTCACCGCACTGCCAGCAGCAGTGTGCAGCGGAGAGAAAGAGCTGCCAGTGCTGCCAGTGCCACCAGCTGTAGCCGCTACCGCAGCAGCCCCAGCTTCGTCAGTTCCTCTCGTGGTGATGGTCGTGGCTCCTTGCTTGCCTTGAGACGTCTTCGTCCCTGTTTCCTCCACTTCCTCCTCCTCCTCCTCCTCGTCTTCCTCCTCTTCCTCTTTCCCCTTCTTCACCACACTACCAGCAGCAGTTTGCAGCGAAGAGAAAGAGCTGCCAGTGCCAGCAGCTGTAGCCGCCACAGCAGCAGCCCCAGCTGCGTCAGTTCCTCTTGCGGTAAAGGCCGTGCCTCCCTGCTTGCCTTGAGGCGTCTTCCCCGCTGCCATCTCCTCCTCCTTACCTTCCCCTTCCTCTTCCTCTTCCTCTTCCTCCTCCTCTTCCTCCTCTTCCTTCGCCTCCTGCCCTGCTAACTTCACCTTCTCCCGTCCCTTCGTCCCCTCAACCACCGGCCTTCCCACTCCCACTCCCACTCCCACTGCTCTCTCTGTGTTCAAATCCGGCGAATTCGTCAACACAGGACCACCACCACCCCTCGTTAGTGTCACCCCGCCCACTGTAACGTCACCTCTCCTCACAGCATCAGAGTTGACTGCTTGACCGTCATTGAAATTCCTATTGCCTGTCCTTCCCAACAACCCCTCCCCACTAGGTTTCACTCCTCCCCCACCCTCCTTCGCTTCTTCTCCCTCCTCATCCTCCTCTTCCTCTTCCTCTTCCTCCTCCTCCTTCGCTTCCTTTTCTTCCTGTTTCTCTGCCTTGCCTTTTCGTACACCATACCCCTCCCTATTATCACCTTCAACATTATCACCTCCAGCTTTCACTCCGCCACCACCTTCCCGGATACTCCCAAGGCCGCTCCCTCCCGTGGCTGCACTCCCAACCCCCTCCTTTCCTTCCTCCTCCCCTTCCTCCTCTTCCTCTTCTTCCTCCTCCTCCTCCGCCTCTCCCTCTGCCTTCTCACCCTTTCCCGCAGCATTACCCCTCCCCATCCTCACTCCCTCCCTCACTCCCATTCTCTCCCCTTCACCTGTCCCAGTTCCTGTTACACCCGTCCCCCTCCAACCCTTCCCTTCTCCACTATCTCGCTTCAGTCCAAACCACCGTGAGACAGTTCCCTTTCGCGCCTCTCCCTCAGCCATGATTCGCCGATCCCCTCCCACTGCCGCGGAGCCAGTTACACGCTGCCACGTGTCCACGGCAGCGGCCTCGGTTGCATCCGCTCCTTTCCTCGTCGCTGCCGTGATTCGGCGGCCCGGAAGCTCCTCGTTCGCGTTATAATCGGCTGCAATATCACTCGTTGCCTCTGAACCGTGCTCTGCTCTTGCTGCTGCGGCGGACTGGCCGGATTTCGCGGCGCGAGTTGGGCCGGACGTCACGGGGGGAGTTTCGGCGTAAGTTTCGGCGCCAGTCTCGGCGGCGAGCTTCCTGTGCGCCACGGAAAAGCGCGGACGCAAATATTCCCGAGTCGCATCCGCTGCTGAGAAGTCTCCAGAGAAAGAGGCTGGTGCATTTGTCCCCGCTACAAGAGGACGTGACACTGCGAGGGTTACAGCCACGAGAATGAGGACTTGAAGAGGAAAAGCAACGCGAATGCGAGAGGCGGTCATTTCTGTCATGAAGCGGATCGTAGGTATCAGGACAAGCTGATCGTATCTAGCAGGCAAAAGACGCACGGTGCCAACGCCTATATGCGATATTAAAAACACAGTACTTTATAGCATATGTAGCTGCACTGTATCCAGAGCAGCCTATCAGGCACCTACTCCAGGTGTTAAAGGAAAGGGGACGCTGTCAGGAATGTGGTAAAGCGCACTGCGAGTTTGGCAACGACGAAGCAACACGGTTACCAGGCATCGACGTTACCCATCCTCCATCACTTCTGACCTAACTCGGAAGTTCTACGTTAGAACGCTAGGCTAAGAAACTGTACATGGCTTGACTTGTCAAACCACCAGCCATGGAGGTAGTCTGAAATGAAGGGGAGGAAAGGGAGTGGAGGTAGAAGAGCAGGAAGAAGCAGATGCTGTCAGGATGAATGCGGTTGAGGTCGTATTTCGTCACAGAATTTTTGAATCGAAGGCAGCTGTGACGTGGCTGGACTTTGGTGAGGAAACACAAAAAGGTCGAAACGTTTCATCTCTAACCCCGAATTATTGTCTTTCAGAACAGAATGCAGGGTCCACTTTTCAGGAATGGCACACGAAGTCAGCGTCTTGAACGTGACGTCAACAAGTAGTTCAGAAAGGCAACAGATAAACGCGATGTACGGTAGGCTAGCTCATTTGACGTAAGGTTGAATCCTCCAGTACAAAAGGATGGGTTCTAATTCTAGTGCCAAATGCTAAACAGGTTAGCATCAGCCAGACAAATACCATAATGATAGTTAATTTCATCAAAGATTGATCTCCACAACGCAATAATGAGTTCGAACCACTAGCACCGTGGATCCTTCTGAGTTCTAGGTATTCATGAGACAACTGATCCATTCCTCATCAGTACAGAGGAAAATCTGAAGTTGCAAAAAGAGGGAGGTAGGCAAAGGGGGGGGGGAGAAAAAGAGAATGGGAAGAAGGAAGAAAACCAGGAGTCATACGCAGAAGAAGGTTGAAACAAGATGCTGGATGGATCACATCACATCACACATACCAATCAATTCTTGAGCAAGCTTCTTGTGCACCTTGAAAGATCGTACCCCTCCTGCTTAACCACCAAATACTGGTTCAAGAACCACGCCAGGGAGACACATGATGCATTCACCTGCCATTCTCAACCATAACCACACGCACTTCAAATGTTCAGCCCCCTTCCACCCTGTGCCCCGCTACCCTGCCCCCATCCACCCTAGCCCCATCCACCCTGCTCGGCCTCCCCAAACAGCAGCTGGAGCTGCGCAAAAGGCGACGGCACCCTAGACGCTTCAGTGGTGTGTGAGAGAGAGTGTGATGGGAGAGCAGGGGAGTGTGGTGAGTGTGAGAGGGGGAGTGGGACGATGCGAGTGAGCCTGGTCTCGTGGCCTGTGCCCCGCACGGCGTCCCTCATCTGCACGCAGCATGCCATGCCACACAGCAGCTCCGACAACACACATGCTGGGAGTAGGACGAGGTAGCGGAGAGGAGAGAGCGGGGAGAGGAGATACGGGTGAGATGTAAGGGAGATGGAAGAGCGGAGAGATGCAAAGATGGGATTAAAGAGAACGAAAAAAAAAAAAAAAAAAAAAAGTATTGTAAGAAAGTGCAGTATGAGTTGCGCATTAACGTACCTTGAAGTGCTAGCAAGCATGCCCACTGAAATCTATTTCCCACGCACCTACAAAAGCGCTAAGAAGCAAGAAGCGCAACGGACCTGCATGGGGGTATTTGCGAGTAAAGGCAGTCCACTGGGATCCGGTGCAGCCTATGAGGGGCTGAGCTGCCTTGTCAAACGCCACACCGGACACTGGGTGGGACTCCCCTGGTAGAACCAGCAGCAGCTGCTGTGTGGAGGGAAGAGGGGGAAGGGGGGAAAGAGGAGAGGGGCTGAGCCGCCTTTCAAACGCCACACCAGATACTGGGTGGGAATCCCCAGCGATCACCAGCAACAGCTGCCGTGACGTGTGTTGGGAGTATTGCAATGTGAACATTCGCGGAAGAGGGAGGGACGGTAGGGAATGGGGGGTAGATGAGAGGGGAAGGGAGAGGGGCGACTGACAAATGGAAGATGGAATCGGCCTGGTCTGGTCGAATAAAAGTGAGGAGAGGAAAGTCTGTTATAATGCTTCATCCATTGTCATGCCTTCCAGTATAGCATAATCCAATTTCACAAAATCATAGCGTCTAGTCACCTTGAGCTTGAACAGGTGTGTCTGCCGCTTGATGGTCTCTAGCGGCTTCGCGGAGCGGTCTGACAGCTGGCACTCGCTGCACGGCCACGGACGCCACGTGGCGACCTGCTGGCCCTGCACCGTGTACTCCGACAGCGAGCGCGTGCAGCGCGCACACGCAGGGTAGCTGACGTGGCGTCGGGGGTCGCAAATGGGAGGAGGGGGAAATGGGAGATCGTGGCAAAGGGAGGGGGAGGGGGGGTTGAGTGGGAAGGGGACCTTACAGAGTCAACGATTATAATATGAGGGATCCAAGAGGCATTGATTAGAAGGCGTTAGAGAAACACGACAGGAAAAATGCAGCAGAAGACGAAGAAACAATGAATCGTATTTGTTTGAGCGAGAAAGGATTGGCTTATAAGTCCACTGGCAAACGGCGCACCATATGTTCGACGTGTCGGCCGCGACGATTGTGCACCGCGGCACGTCGCGCATTCCTGCAGGCTCCAGCTGAATTGTCAATGCTTCCAGCAACGATCATCCACACGCACAGAAACGCTGCCACGGACGCGTCTTAGAAACAACGTCGATGATCGCGGCGGGTCCTCGCCTCGCTTCGGTAGAATCAGCAGCTCCACGCCACGAGGCTCTTCTGCCGCGTCGCAATTCCTCCGCGACGTACTTCAAACGGCTAGTATCGTTGATGGATGATCACAGTAGCCCGACATCGTATGGTTGTGCTTCATAAACTGTTGCAGGATTAGTGGTGCTGCTTAGGAAGTGCTTCAGTTGTGTCCTTTGGTAGAATATACCTCCTTTTACTCAAACCATCTCACCCTCACTACAATACAACCATCCAAGTAAGCTGTATGTCTTTGCCCACGCAATTACCGAGAGAGTTGTCTAAGAGAATCTCTTGCGGTGACTAAAAACCGCTGAGCTGATCTCAATGCTGATTTATTATTTATGTACATGCGTTTTCTCTAAACTAGTCCTTACCTATGTCCGGTCTGGCTGAACAACGCCTAAAAAGGCCAACATTTGTAGACCGTTCACCTTAAGGCATCAAGCATAATCCACTGCATGGCACGAGCTTCAGTTATCACCTTCACATAGTGCATTCCCCCAAACCTCCCCTTCAGCTCCGCGGGAAGAATCTCATCAGCAGTAATCAAAACAGGCGACCTCACCACCACAACCCCTCTTTCTCCAATTACTCCTTCCTTATCATCCTCCGCATCTCTTTCCTTCAAGCCCTCCTTAGGTAACCACTCCACATCAGATTTGATCCACTCATCGATCGGCACGATCTTATCCTCCCCAAATACCACCTTCTTCCCCTCTCTCTCATACCTCTCTCTAGCAAACGGGTGGACCATCTCCAGAGCCCGCTGGATTGCCGCCTCGTTGATCGCCGCTGCCACGTGGCGCACTTCCATTGGCGCCACTGCCGCCCATGCCGACAACGCAGCTCCAAGAGAGGGCGTTCCCTCACCTGCTGCTCCAGCTGTTGCTCCTGGAGCCACCGCCATCATTCCTGTGTCTTCCCCTGCTCCCGCAAGCTGCAAGCCAAGAGCCTCCTTAATAGCAGCGGCGCTCTTGCACTTGACCCACAGGGTGTGCGGCTGGCACGGCCAGAACTTACCCTGCGACTGCAGCCATGCAGACTGCAGCACAGTGGGAGCAGAGGAGTCTGCTTGGGAGGAGCCCCCAGTGGACGTGAGGAGGTCGGGCTTGGAGCGCAGAAAGTCGGGCATGAAGGCATGGAAGATGGTGTGTGAGGGGAGCGAGGTGGATAGGCCTGCGTGGGAGAGAATGATGTCCTGTTGGAGGGGGTGGGAGAGGGGGGGGATGGGGATGGATTGAGCGTGGTAAGAAGGCATGGAAGCTATAGTGTGAGGGGAGAGAGGGGGAGAGGCCCACGTGGGAGAGGATGGAGTCCTGTTGGAATGGGTGGGAGAGGAAGGCAACGTGGATGACATGAGTGAGAAGGCGCAGGAGATGGTGTGCCTAGAAAATGTCAAGAGAATGATGGCGAAAAAACTTTTGGGAAATGTCGGGAATTGGTCTAGAAAAGAAGAACAAGGAGGGAAAGTGGGGGATGGGCTGAGGTGAACCTGCGCAAGCAAGCATAACTAACTTTACTAACAGAAAGAAGTCGTAAAGGGAGAGGCAGGGTGGACTGACCAGCACGTGCTGAGGCTCGCCCCTCTCCATCTCCAGGGCCTTCCACACTGGTCGATCGCAGGTGGTCAGAGGTGATTCTTGAGTCCAGTCAATAAATATTCACAGAAAGGAGTGAGGCAAGGAGGGGACTGACCAGCACGTGCTGAGGCTCCTCCCGTTCCATCTCCAGGGCCTTCCACACTGGTCGCAGGTACTCCAACGACCATTCCACCGCCCCCTGCAGCACCTTCACCGCACTCTCCTGTGCCTCATCCACGCACTCCTCCTCCCCTCCGTCCCCTCCCACTCCTCCCCTTGCCCCTTCCGCCCCTGCCATTCTTTTACGCAACCCCTCCTGTCCCGCCAGAAGCAACGGCGCCCAGCCACTGTCCGAGTGCAGGTGAAGAAGCATAAAAGCCGAAACCAGCCGTCCAATCTCCTCCCGCACCTCCTCTATTGGTCGAGACGCCTCCAGGTCCCCCCTCTGTTTGTTCACCACCCCGTTCCCCCCCTGTGCGTGATTCATCCCCTTTATAATCACAACTGGCTTCTGGACAATGGACAGCAGTGGCCCCAGCGCTGCTGCTGTCGCACTGCCAGGTGCAGCAGCAGCAACAGAAGAACCACCTGAAGAATTACCTGAAAATTCACCTGAGGAAACACCTGAGGATCCAGGGTCAAGCTCCTTGACTGCTAGCGCCATGGCGATGGGGGGAGCCTGGCCGTCCCTGTCTCCGAGGATGTTGAGCGTTGGCCTTGGGAATTGCAGGAAGGAGGTCTCTAGGTTGTTGTGTGAGGAGCCGATGCTGATGAGCGCCAGGCATTTCTCCCGCACCACTGCTGTCATGAGGAAGGCTCCGATGCTGGTAGGGGTCGTGGGTGTGGGGAGGGGGAAGGAGGGAGGGAATTGCAGGAAGGAGGTCTCTAGGCTGTTGTGTGAGGAGCCGATGCTGATGAGAGCGAGGCACCACTGCTGTCATGAGGAAGGCTCTGATGCTGGTAGGGGGTGAGAGGGTGGGGAAGGGGAGGAGAAGGACGGAGGGTGGCATGTCTTAATCAATGTGGTAGGGCACACATGCTGATAAGAGCGAGGCGGGATTCTCACACCACTGCAGTCATAAGGAATGCTCCGATGCTGGGTATGGGGTGAGAGGGTGGGGGTGAGGGGGTAGGAAAGGAGGGAGGGTGGTTTCTTGTGCACTGTGTATACAAGGCTCATATCATATGCTGATGAGAAGGCAATTCAGAATTCAACTCTACAGTCAACTTAAAGGTGTCAACTAGTTACCGCATTAGTCAACTAAGGACTCATCAGAAGTCATCCCATCTCCTTACCCGCTTTGACTGCTGCACTTCATACCTTGCCCCACTCGCATCTTTCCCCAGACCCAACACACCTGTGTCCCAGCACAAACACCCGCGACGTGCCGCCCGCATTAGTCACATCCGCGCCCATCTCCTTGACCGCTTTCACTGCCGCCTCATACCCGTCCCGAGCCCACATCCTCCCTTTCTCCTGGTCCAGAAGTGTGACCTCGTTCAGTACAGCCACCCACAGGCGCTTGCGCACAGACGGGGGAGTGGTGGATCTTATAGCGCGGATGAGAGGGAGGTAGGAGAGCGCGGGGATGAAACCGCCTGGGGCGACGAGGAGGAGGTAGGGAGGGGAGGAGGGAGAGGTGGAGGTGGTATCTGGGGTGGGTTGGTCCTCACGGGAAGGGGGAAGGATGTACGCGAGCTGGGGGAGTGCGAAGAGGGGGACGGAAGAGAACAGGGGGATGGAGAGGGGAATAGGGAAACATTGAGTGTAAGGTGAGCCTGAAAGGGGAAGGAGATAAGATCAATTTCAACCATATGCACTTTGCAGTTTGCACGGAGATATGAGGTGAATTATACTTGATAGTAAGTTACCTTATTGCATTCACGGTGACAGCAAAGGTGAACCTGACAAAAAAAACCCTTGTAAGTCTGCAACGCTTTTACATATAATGCAAGAGCATGATATCCTGGGATTGGATTCGTGCCTGTGGAGCCAAACGCGGATCAGGAGCCATGATAACGTCATCATCGTGATTTGAGACGTCCCTATCGCTCCCGTGGTCCGTCATCGTTCCTTTTGTTCCGGCGACAGGAGCACCTGCAGCATCACCAGCAGCTGCAGCAGCGCAAGTGACGGATAATCTCAGCGATACAGACACGTGGCGCAAGGGTGCTGGGGAGCCGTTCAAGAGCGGCTGGTGACGCACAGAAACAGCGCTGAGTGTCAGAGGATGATGACGAGACACTAGTAAGCGTCCTGGAGAGTTGCAGCTCGAGACGCAGCGAAGACTGGAGGGCGTGGGAGCGGAAAGAGAGATTCCGGAGACTACAGAAGAGTGAGTGGGGAAGTAACTCGAGGGAAACGAAACTTGAACGAGAGGACGAGAGAATGCGAGAAGGGAAGTGCTAGAAGCAGCCATGAGCAGCAGCGGAGTTGCGGAAAACGAGGAGGAGGAGATGCAAGGCCAAATATAGGAGTAGTGCTGACTGTTAATGAACAATCCATCACGCCTGATTGCAATCAAGGCAGCCGAGCAATCGCGCAGAGAAAAGCGGAGGCGGACGAATCAAGAATCACGGATAGTCCCAGAATTCCTGTCTGAGGCCGCATTCTGGGCTCGTAACAGCCTGTTACGAACAAATCTGGCCGTCGCACGCCGACGTCCGCATTTCCCCATAACCTGTCCAGACGTGGGAATCGTTAGGGGTCGTGAAGTGCCCATGAGAGTCGCTCGAGCTGTCACTACTAGGTGGGCTATTCGCACACGTCAGCGAAGAAGCCCAGAATTGAATCACGGCGTTTCAATGGGAATAGCCCACTTTTCAAAACGAACTTCCTCGACGGAACGTGTCAGCTAGAACCACGTCCGACGTCATTTTCCTGACCTCCCAGCTAACCCTCCGCTGAACACCCCAGCGGAATCAGGTCGACGGACCCGAGTTGCCAGGGTCGACGAGGGGGGTCGACGGACAGGGGTCTGACGAGGCGGGCGAGTGACGCGCGTGCGGGCCCGCCAGCCTGGCCCTGGGCTGGGCCGGGCGCACGACCGCCGCCCCGCAACCCCCCCCCCGAGAGTGAACAGCGACCCACGTTACCAGGTGGAGGCGGCGAGCTGGCGAGACCTCGGGCGAGGGGAAGTAACCCTGCCGCGAAGGCAGCCCACCCCTCCCTCGTGCCCGCGAGGCCCTAGTAACCCATCGCGGCCTGCCCGTACGGGCAGGCGAGGTCCACGCGAAAATCGGGGGCTCCCCTCGGGTCGCTCGACTATTTCGCGACCCGTTGCGGTGACGCCACGTGCTCGCCCGTCATTTCGCATCGCGTGCATGAGACATTTCGTACCCCCCGAAACTCGAGCGAAAACCTGGGTCGTTCGCCACGGGGCGCACGGCTTTCGCGACCCTCTGCGAAATCGACACGTGGTGCCGAAACGTCGCACCGCGCCCACGCGAAGTTGCGTCCCCTGGCCGACCGAGGCCGAGGCACGTGACGTCGACCTGTTGGCTCGGCGGCGAGGGTGCACTTGTGCCACGCAACTTGTGCACGAGCCCTGCCGAGCCAGGCATCACGGCCCCCTGGGCGACGCTCAACCGGGCCTGCGTGGCTCCGCCTGGCTTTTCTTCGTTGGAGGTGGACTGGCCCCTCATTTTCGCGTTCTCGTTTCTCTTTCATTTTTCCTCCCACCTCGGCGCCTTCCATACTCCCACCGCTTCTTCCCTTAGCCTGTAGCATAGCATCCTCGCTCTCCCGCCATGGCAGCCGGCCAGAAAGCCGCCGAAGCGGCGCCGACCTCGCTAGATTTCCCCCTGCATCTAGACATCGGTAGAGGACACACGGCCAAGTTCGAAGAGCACGACTACGCCGTTCTGACAAACCCTATGCTAGAGTTTAACGCCCGTTGCTTGGGACTCGGTCTCAAGTGAGTGTCTTATGGAGATGTCGTCGTCGACGGGCCTATTCCATGCTGGTCGGCCATGGCGGGGTATGTCAAGATACTAGCAATGGGTAGGCTTAGGAGCCATGGTTGAGTTCGAGTAAGTTTAGGAGAGTCGAGAAATTGGAAGAGAAGAAGTGGTTTCACTATAGAGCGAGCAGTACATATAGGCAAAATGAAAGGTGCACCACCAAAACAGAACATTGTATAACTACAGTAATCTACACTACAGGCAGTTACAAAACAATATATAAAACTATATATTATTCTGACACGCCCCCATAAGTGCCTGTAGGGAAGAATGTGCAGTCAACGCCCCCATAATGGGGTACACCAAGAGTGCGTAGCAGTACGGGAGAGGGCAGGCAAGGAGGAGGAGAGAGAGAGAGAGGGAGAGAGAGGAGAGGAGGTGATAGGCTCTGGTTGGTCACCACATACATCCCCTCATCCTCCCCCTCCCCCTCCCCCTCCCCCTGCTGCAGGAGCAGCAGAGGGGGGGGACAAACAGAGGAGAATGGAGCCGTAGGGCCAGGGGACCACACTCACCCATCACCCCCACACCCGCCACCCCCAGTCCCTCCCCGGGCTCCCCACACTCTCACACCCTCCCCCCCAGCGGCAGCTGCAGCAGAGGGAACAAAAGGAGGAGGAGAAAGGGGTGGGGGGGGGGAAGGGGGGGGGGGGGGGGGGCGACGCACGGCCTCCCCGGGCGCCAAAGCAAGCGGCAGAGGGGGCGACGAATCCCCCCCCCTTTCAGGTCGCGGCCCCCTCAGGTCGCCGCGACGGGTGACGGGAAAAGGGGGGGGGGGCGGTGCACGTGCCCCCGGTGTGCCGCGGCTGGCGATAGGGCATGGCCGGGGCGGGGTCGGGGCCGCAAGAGGGCGGGGCCGCAGGTGGCATCGGGGCCTGGGGCGGGTACCGCACGGGCGGCGACGGGCCGGGACGGGCGGCGACAGGCCGGTACGGGCGGCGATGGGGCCGCAGCGGACGGCGGCGCGTCGTACGGGCGGTATGTGACGCCGCGAAGGGCGGCGACGGGCTGGTACGGGCGGCGAGTAGGCCGCAGGTAGGGCGGCGGGACGGCCGCAGGTAGGGCGGCGGGTGGGCCGCGACGGAGTGGCGGGGCCGCTCGAAGGAGTGGCGGGGCCGCGACGAAGTGGCGGGGCCGCGCGAAGGGGAGGCGGGGCCGCGACTAAGTGGCGGGGCCGCTCAAGGGGTGGCGGGGCCGCGACGAAGTGGCGGGGCCGCTCGAAGGGAATAAGGGGCACGCCACGGGGCGTGCCAAACACAGAGTAGCAGCGGAAGCTTTAAAGTGGGGCCCACAGGTCAGGACCTTGTCACTCTGATAGCATGTCAAGATACTAGCAATGGGTAGGCTTAGGAGCCATGGTTGAGTTCGAGTAAGTTTAGGAGAGTCGAGAAATTGGAAGAGAAGAAGTGGTTTCACTATAGAGCGAGCAGTACATATAGGCAAAATGAAAGGTGCACCACCAAAACAGAACATTGTATAACTACAGTAATCTACACTACAGGCAGTTACAAAACAATATATAAAACTATATATTATTCTGACAGGGTATATGTCGACGGGCTTAGAGTTCAGGCACATCACATCGGTGATGCCGACGTAATGCGTTAGGTCGTCGACGACGCTGAGTTGTGCCGAAGTCGTTCGGCTCCCGTCATTCCACCGTCGTGCCGCGCACCTATACCTCTCTAATCTGTTGTAATCATGCATGCGTGCAGGCACGCATGGATCCGCTCAACGGATGCAGGCGAGCGATTGGGGTCGATAGGAGCCGGCCGGCTTCGGGCGGCGATGGGTCAGGACGACCACACATGCTTTGCGACGATTTTCGACGCCGACGTGGCGGTTATCCCACTGATATCGAGGTGAGCAGGTTCGAGGTCCTGCTGTGTGCTGCAACCTGTGTCGGTGATTTGTTCTGAGCGCCATCGACGTGCCTTGTCTGTGCAGCATCGCACCGCTTCCGGGAGCACATTGCAGCGTCGTTCTCATCCTGTGCCCCGGCGATTTGTTCAATGCCTCGGGGCAGGAGGTCAGGACCTCGATCCGGCACGCCGACCCGCAGACAGTGAAGGAGTGGCACCGCGACGAGGCGATCCGCGTGCTGAAGTGAGCTCGATAGTTTAGTCGACATCGCATACATTGTCGACACGACGCGTGCACCGTGCTAACCGACCGTCCTTGCCGTGCTTTTGCAGGTTTTTCCGGACCGCTGTTCTGGCCGAGCTGCGGCGCGAGGGTAGGAAATGGGAGTGGGCGAAGCCGTCCGAAGACGAGGTGCAGGAGAGGCTCGCCGACTGCGACGAACCCCTTCGAGATGTGAGTTACGGACGATTCGCCGTCATATGGTGTCACATCTACGCCGCCCTCATCCTTGCTCTCTGCACTGTTGTATGCAGAAAATTCCCGATACCGTCCGGGACTCGGACGCGGGCTCCGGCCTGCTAGCAATGAGCGCGTTGATCTGGGTTGTGAGGCGGTTCCAGCGCCTGACCGGCGACCTCCGTCGCATTGCCACCAGCATGGACAAGCCCACCGTCTCGGGGTTGAAGGCGCTGCGGAACGAGATGGTAGCCCTCATCAAGAAGCAAGTCCCGCTCATACGGTCGGGGAAAACCGTTGTTGCTGCCGACGCCTGTGACGACGACGGCGAGGAAGTCCATTCTGCATCCGTACCAGTAGGGGTCGCCCCGAACGTCGCTGATGCGCGTGGCAAGTCGGGAGTCGGCGTCGACGAGGCCGATGCGGCCGCAGGAAAGGGGGTGACCGGGACCGAGGTTGTTCACGGGGATGATGATGGGGTCCAGGATCGCGAGGAGGAACGTGAGGGTGAGGGGGGCTCGGAGGAGTCGTCGGGGTCGATGTCGGGGTCGAGTTCGGGGTCGGGATCGGGCTCGGAGTCGGAGTCGGAGGAGGAGCAGGAGCAGGAGACGCAGGAGCACGAGAGGCAGCACCAGGAGGAGCAGTTGGTAGAGGTGGAGGACGTGGAAATGGCGGAGGGGTACGTTGTCGGAGGAGCGGAGGGGTACGTTGTCGGAGGAGCGGAGGAAACGGGTGGGAGATCGGCGGATGTCGAGAACGACGAAGGGGAGGGGAAGGGTGCGACAGCGAATATTGGCGAGGTCGGCGTGGAGGCGGCTCACGGAGGTGGTGGCATGGTCGAGGTCGGTGAAGGGGATAACGCCGCGGTCCCGGAGCAGAGGGGCGTGGATGTGCATACCGATGCCACCGCGGAGAAGGCCGGCGGGGAGCGGTCTAGGAGGAAGAAGGCGGCGAGCGGTCATCCCGGTTCCACCGCGGCTGGGCGGCAGGCGCGGCTGGACGTCGTCGATCAGCTGAGGGCGGAGAACAGGCGATTGCGTGCAGACAATGCACTCCTTGAACGGCGGCTCGGTGAGCAGACGGGGCGGGTCGACAGCTTGGCGGCGGCATTAGCTGGGCTCCTCGAGAAGGTGAAGGGTTTGACCGCCCAGGTCGCCGACACCGACCGGAAATCGGAGGAGCGCCTCAAAGAGGCCACGTCGACCATGGCGACCACAATCACCGAGGGCCTCACCGACAACATGGACAGCGCCATTCAATCGGCCAAGTCCTTCGCCGAGCTAGCGAGGCAGACGCTGCTGGATCTTGACGACCCCAAGGGACGAGCGGCGGTCGCACGCGCGACCGCGGTGAAGACAGTGACCGAGCACGTGACGGCGGAGGTGGGCGAGGCGAGGAAGGGGTTGGAGGAGTCGTTCATCAAATACATCGGCGCCGCGCAGACCAACATTGCCGCCGCCGTCGCGCCCCGCCTAGTCCAGCCGCCGCCGCCTACCGGCCCAGCGCAGGCCTTGCCGGAAGATTTCCTGAAGTCTTTCAAGGAGGACGTGCTGAAGGCGGTGACGGAGACCACGCAGCAGTCCTTCCTCGCCTCCGGACTGAAGATAATGGCCGAGGTCGTCGGCACGGTGGCGTATGCTCGGCGTGGGTCGTCGCCGTCGGCAAACGACGCCGGCCAAGCGCAACCTACGGAGGGCTTGAAGCTGGGTCACAAGAGGCGGGGAGGCGGCGGGGGGGGCGACGGGGACAATTCGGCGAACACGAAGCGGAGCAAGGGAGGCGGGGGTGTCAGAACATATCTATAGCTTATACTGCTGTGTAGGCTGTAGTGGGGTATCCCATAGGGGGTACAACCCAGTTAGGGTCTCATATTTGTACTGCTTTCATTCATAGTTCATTCATTCCTGTTTTCCTACTTTCACATGGTATAGAGCGGGTCCTACCTTAGGACCGTTGTCTGGGCCCACCGACGCGCGCTCCGAGGCGCGCCCTTTTTTTTTTTAGCGACCCCTCGGGTCGCCTTTTCACTCGCGGCCCCGCCGCCTCCTCTGACGCGGCTTTGCCGCCTCCCCTGACGCGGCCCAGCCGCCTCCCTTGACGCGGCCCCGCCGCCTCTTTTAACACGGCCCCGCCGCCTCCCTTGACGCGGCCCCGCCGCCTCCCTTGACGCGGCCTCGCCGCCTCCCCTGACGCGGCCCCGCCGCCTCCCCTGACGCGGCCCTGCCGCCTCCCTTGACGCGGCCCCGCCGCCTCCCTTGACGCGGCCCAGCCGCCTCCCCTGACGCGACTCCGCCGCCTCCCCTGACGCGGCCCCGCCGCCTCCATTCACGCGGCCCAGCCGCCTCCCCTGACGCGGCCACGCCGCCTCCTCTGACGCGGCCCCGCCTCTACTGCCGACGGCCCCGCCGCTGCACTCTACGGCCCGCCGCTGCACCCTGCCGGCCCGTCGCTGCTCCTGCCGGCCCGCCGCTGCACCCTGCCGGCCCGCCGCTGCTCCTGCCGGCCCGCCGCTGCACCTACCGGCCCGCCGCTGCACCCATCGGCCCGCCGCCTCTTACGGCCCGCCACTTGCACCTGCCGGCCCGCCGCTGCACCTACCGGCCCGACGCTGCACCTGCCGGCCCGACGCTGCATCTCCCGCCCGAGCCGCCCCAGCAGCCGAGCCGCCCGGGACCCGAGCCGCCCTGCCGCCGAGCCGCCCGGGAGCCGAGCCGCCCTGCACCCGAGCCGCCCAGCAGCCGAGCCGCCCTGCACCCGAGCTGCCCAGCCGCCGAGCCGCCCGGGAGCCGAGCCGCCCTGCGCCCGAGCCGCCCAGCCGCCGAGCCGCCCGGGAGCCGAGCAGCTGTGCACCCGAGCCGCCCGGTCGCTGAGCCGCCCTTCTGCTGACTGCACGACCTGCCCTGCCTGGTGAGCACTGTCCCACTGACACTGCGAGCTCTTTCCCTACTGCTTGCACTGCGTCGCTGTCGTCACCATGGCTACCCCTAGTGTCCTAGCTTTTGACGCTGAGGGTCGCGCCATTGATTTTGAGGTCTGGTTAGACGACCTGCAGCTGTTCTTACAGTGCGACAGGGCTGACGACCTTTCTCTCTTTGACCTCACCTCTGGCGCCTCTCCTGCCCCTGCTGCTGATGCTGATCCCGCTGTCCGCTCTAAGTGGGCCACCCGCGATGCTGCTGCACGTCTTGCTGTGCGTCGCCACCTCCCTACCTCTGAGCGTGCGCACTTTAGTCAGTACAAGAGTGCTCAGACCTTGTACGACGCTGTAGTTGTGCGCTACTCCTCCCCTGCCACTGCTGCACTGAGCCGTCTCATGCTTCCCTACCTCTTTCCTGACCTCTCTGCCTTTCCCACTGTCGCTGACCTCATTACGCACCTCCGCACTAGTGACACTCGCTACCGCGCCGCCCTTCCTGCTGAGTTCTGCGCTAAGAACCCCCCCCCCATGTACATCGCTCTCTACTACGTAGTCGCACGCCTCCCTGACTCCCTTCGCGTCGTCAGGGACCACTTTCTCGCAGTCTGTCCCACCACTCTCACCGTCGACCTCCTCGAGAAGGCCCTCCTTGCAGCGGAGAAGAGCATAGTCGCTGTAGGTGCTTCTCGTGGTGACCCTCGCACCCCCATCTTTGAGGGGTGCTCTCCTTCCCCCTTGCTGCCCTCTGTTGCCTCTGCTGCTGCTGCCGACCTGCTTGGTCTTGAGTCGGTCGGCGCGGCGTCTGCCCCTAGTGGGAGACGTCGCTCCAGCAAGGGCAAGGGGGGCAAGGGCGCGGGTGGAGCTGGAGGGGGCGGTGGCGGTGGCGGCGGTGGCGGCGGAGGGAGTGGGGGTGGCGGCGGGGCTAGTGGCGGGGGTGGTGGTGGTGGTGGCGGCAGCGGCGGCGGAGACGGTGGTGGTGGTGCCAGCGGTGGTGGTGGAGGCAGCGGCGGAGGTGGAGGCGGCGGAGGTGGAGGCAGTGGAGGCGGCAGCGGAGGAGGCAGTAGTGGTGGAGGAGGTGGAGCTGGTCGGGGTGGTACCCAGCAGCGTAGCGGCGGTGGTGGTGGCCAGCGCTCGCACCGGCAGCAGCAGCAGCGCTCGCGGGACATCCCTTCGCCTCAGCAGCTTCGTGAGTGGTACGCTGGGCGTCAGAGGGGTGGGGGTACTGGTCCCTGCACCTACGTTCTTCGTTCCGGCGACCGCGCGGGTGAGCAGTGTGGGGGTGCCCACGCCACCCAGCGCTGCTTTGGCCGCCTGACGGACGCTTGGCGTCAGCAGTTCCCTGGGGCTAGTGAGATCCCTCGCTGGGATGAGCTTCTCAGGGCTGGTGTAGCGATCTTTGATCTTGATTTTGATGCTATCCTTACTGCTATGTATGTTGTGGATTATAGTGAGGAGAATGAGGGTTACCGGTGTTTTCAGCCCGACCCGGGCATTGGTACTGCTGCGCTAGGTGCTTGTGAGGCTGCTGCTCTAGGTGCCAGTGCGTCTGCGCTCTCAGGTACTGGTGAGACTGCGCTCTCAGGTACTGAGTCGTCCTCGTCCTCCCTCACTTTCACACTTGACTCCGGAGCTTCTCGCTCCTTCTTTCGAGACCGCACTACCCTTTCGCCGCTCGCCAGGCCGGTTGCGGTCTCCCTTGCTGACCCCTCTGGGGGTCCTGTCCTGTCTCACTTCTCCACTGTCCTCCCGTGTCCGGCTGCCCCTTCGGGCACCCTGTCGGGTCTGTACCTTCCCTCGTTCTCTACGAACTTGGTGAGTGGAGCGGACCTGCAGGATGGGGGTGTTCACCAGTTCACTCCTGCGCGTCAGAGGGTGACCCACTGCACGGAGGCTCGCACAGGCCGACACCTGGCCACGTTCTCACGTCGGCCGGGGTCGAGTCTCTACACCCTGACCGTTGAGTCTCCTCCTGTCCCTGCGTCTGGTCAGGTGGCTGCGTCGGGTCAGGTACTTGCTGCTGCGTCCCGGTCAGGTCCTGAGTCTGCCCCCTGTTCTTGTCGCCTCCTGTCTCACGAGACTCTCCTGTGGCACCACCGTCTTGGCCACCCCTCCTTGCCCCGTCTTCGGAGCATGGCTTCCCGTGTCCTTGTCTCTGGTCTTCCCCAGTCTCTCCCTCCTCTCCCCTCCGGGCCAGGACCTTCTTGTGTCCCCTGTGTCGAGGGTCGCCTCCGGGCTACTCCTCACTCCTCCCACTTCCCCCCGACAGAGGCTCCCCTGCAGACGCTTCACATGGATGTGTGGGGCCCAGCCCCCGTCCGTGGGCAGGGTTACGAGCGCTACTTCCTGTTGGTGGTTGACGACTACTCGCGTTACACCACAGTCCTCCCCTTGCGCAGCAAGGGTGCGGTCACTGAGGTGCTGATCGACTGGATCCGCGAGGCTCGTCTCCAGCTCAGGAAGAGCTTCGGCTCGGACTTTCCTGTTCTGCGTCTGCACTCTGACAGAGGCGGAGAGTTCTCTTCTCGCCTTCTGCGAGACTACTGTCGTGCACGGGGGATCCGCCAGACCTTCACGCTTCCGGACTCACCACAGCAAAATGGGATTGCTGAGCGCCGCATTGGCATGGTCATGGATGTCGCTCGTACGTCCATGATGCATGCGGCTGCCCCCCATTTTCTGTGGCCGTTTGCGGTGAGGTACGCGGCGCATCAGCTCAACCTTCACCCCCGGGTCTCTCGGCCAGCGATGTCCCCAGCCTTGCTGTGGACGGGGAAGGTTGGTGATGCGTCTGTGTTCCGTGTCTGGGGATCTCGGGCGTTTGTCCGCGACTTGTCTGCGGACAAGCTGTCCCCTCGTGCTGCTCCCTGTGTCTTCCTTGGCTTCCCCACTGACGCCCCAGGGTGGCAGTTTTACCACCCCTCCTCTCGTCGTGTTCTGTCCTCCCAGGACGTCACGTTCGACGAGTCAGTCCCCTTCTACCGTCTCTTCCCCTACCGCACTCCTTCCCTCCCCCCTCCCCCGGACTTCCTTGTGCCGGTTCCCCCCCCGGTAGACCCCCTCCCCCCTCAGGTTCCTGCCCCCTCAGGTGTGTCCCAGGTAGACGCCGTTGACCCGGTCGAGGTTACTGGTGACTCTGGTGCTGCTGCGGGTGCTGAGCCTGGGGGTGCTGACTCTGGGGGTGCTGTGCGCGGGGGTGCTGAGCCTGGGGGTGCTACTGCTGGGGGTGCTGGGCCTGAGGGTGCTACTGCGGAGGGTGCGGAGCCTGGGGGTGCTGTGCCTGGAGGTGCTGGGTCTGGGGGTGCAGGGTCGGGAGCTGCTGAGCCTGGGGGTGCTGAGCTGGGAGCTGCTGAGCCTGGGGGTGCTGCGTCTGGAGCTGCTGAGCCTGGGGTTTCTCCTGCTACTGCGTCTCGCCGGGAGCCCCTCTCTCCACAGGAGCTGCGCGAGTGGTTTGCTCGCCGCTGGAGGCGTGCTGCTGAGTCTGGAGGTGCTGCTGGAGCTGGAGCTGGAGCTTCTTCGACCGTCGAGGGTGCGGGTGCAGCCGGTCCCGGAGCTGCTGGCCCTGCAGGTCCTCCTGGAGCTGGAGCTGCTGAGGGCGTTCGTGCTGAGCCTGCTGCTGTTGGTCCTGCCGCTGGAGGTGTGGGTGGCGCTGGTGCTGTCGCTGAGGGTGCTGGTGCTGTCCCTGCTGAGTCTGGAGCTGCCGCGCGGCCTCGGCCGTACTTCGTTCCGCTCCTTCAGCAGGTTCTTGGTCTTTCTCCTCCAGTAGAGGGTCCACCGCCTGTCCAGTCGCAGCCCCTACTGGAGCCTTCCTCTCCACTGCCTGCTCCCTCTCCTTACACTGGTCCTACTGGAGGTCTTGCTGAGCGTCGTGAGCCTGCGTCTCGTCCCGCGTCGCCTGTTCGTGCTGCTCGCGCTAGTGGTCGCAGTTCGCGTCAGCGTCCTCCTCCTGTCCCTGGCACGCACCGGATGTCTTTACGTCCGTCCACTGCTCCTCTGCGTGCCCCTTTGCCTGCTCCTCCTGAGTCCTCTCTTCCTGCGCTTGCGGACCCTGAGTCGGACTCTCTTCGTGCTGCCAGTCCCACTGTCACGCGTCTGCTTGCTACTGTCGTCACTGACCCCTCTTTTGAGTCCACTGCTGCGTCTGCTCTAGTCGCTGAGCTCGTCGACTTTGCTGCTCGCTGTCGTCTCGACTACGCTGCTAGTCTTGTTGCTGAGTCTGCGTCTGTCTGTCCTCCGTCCGTCGGGGGTGAGTGTGCTCTTGGCACGGACGTCCTAGAGGACAGGCAGGAGGAGTTACAGTGTCTAGCGGCTGCTTCACCTCATCTCGCGTCTGTACTGCTTGCCCCTGAGGGAGACCCGGATGCACTAGACATCCCGACTCCGCGTTCTTACGCGGAGGCCGTAGAGGGTCCCTACTCCTCTCAGTGGCAGGCAGCTATGGATGCAGAGATGGCTTCCTGGAAGTCCACAGGCACCTACGTTGACGCGGTTCCCCCTCCTGGGGCGAACATCGTCAGTGGCATGTGGATCTTCAGGGTGAAGCGGCCGCCGGGCTCTCCACCTGTCTTCAAGGCACGGTACGTTGCTCGTGGCTTCAGTCAGCGGCAGGGAGTTGACTACTTTCAGACCTTCTCTCCCACCCCGAAGATGACTACTCTTCGGGTGCTGCTGCACATAGCCGCTCAGCGTGACTACGAGCTTCACTCTCTCGACTTCAGCACTGCGTTCTTGCAGGGTAGCCTGCACGAGGAGATCTGGCTTCGCCGTCCACCTGGCTTCACTGGGACTTTCCCTCCTGGCACCCAGTGGAGCCTCCGACGGCCAGTCTACGGTCTCCGCCAGGCACCGCGTGAGTGGCACGACACACTGAGGACTACGCTTGCGGCTCTTGGGTTTGCTCCTTCTACTGCTGACCCGTCGCTGTTTCTTCGCACCGACACTTCCCTGCCGCCGTTCTACATCCTCGTGTACGTCGACGACCTGGTCTTTGCCACAGCGGACACTGCTGGACTCGCCTACGTGAAGTCCGAGCTGTTGAAGAGACACACGTGCACAGACCTGGGTGAACTGCGTAGCTACCTTGGCTTGCAGATCACTCGGGACAGAGCACGCCGCACCATTACCTTGACTCAGTCACACATGGTGCAGCAGGTCCTTCAGCGCTTCGGCTTCACGTACTCCTCGCCTCAGGCCACTCCTCTGCCTACTCGCCACTCACTCTCAGCTCTGCCTTCGGATGAGTCCGTAGAGTCGAGTGGTCCGTATGCGGAGCTTGTTGGCTGCCTCATGTACCTGATGACCTGCACACGACCTGACCTTGCATACCCTCTGAGCATTCTTGCACGCTATGTTGCTCCTGGGAGACACAGACCGGAGCACATGGCTGCAGCGAAGAGGGTATTGCGCTACCTCTGCAGTACGTCAGGCATGGGGCTAGTGCTTGGAGGGCGGAGTCCAGTGGTCCTTACCGGCCACGCGGACGCTTCTTGGGCTGACGACCAGGCTACGCAGCGGTCGTCACAGGGTTACACCTTCAGCCTTGGTTCCGGCTCTGTCTCGTGGCGGTCTACTCGCTCGTCTTCGGTTCTCGGCTCCAGTTGTGAGGCTGAGATCTACGCCGGGGCCATGGCTGCACAGGAGCTTCGCTGGCTCACCTACCTGCTGACTGACCTTGGAGAGCCGCCTCGTTCTCCTCCAGTGCTGTACGTAGACAACAAGGCTATGCTGGCCTTGTGTCGAGAGCAGCGCTTGGAGCACAGAACGAAGCACATTGCTCTCCGCTACTTCCTTGCTCGTGAGCTGCAGCAGCGTGGTCAGTTGCGACTTGCGTACGTGGCCTCTGAGGCCAACACTGCTGATGTGTTCACCAAGGCACTTGCGCCTTGTGACCATCAGCGTTTCTGCACCCAGCTGGGTCTTGTGCCTGTCTTGCCTCACTTACTCTCCTCTTGACTTCACTTGTACTGTGACATATATATATACCTGCTCTTGCTTGTCTAGCTTTATATATATGTCTGTACTCTTGCTTGTGAACTGGCCTTTGGCCTTGCTCTTGTGCTCGGACTGTGTGGTGACTTTGTGATCCACCCTGAGCTTTGCTTTGTCTTGCTTGACTGGTCTTGTGACCCCTTGTTCTCCCCACTTTGCCTATGGGGGTGTGTCAGAACATATCTATAGCTTATACTGCTGTGTAGGCTGTAGTGGGGTATCCCATAGGGGGTACAACCCAGTTAGGGTCTCATATTTGTACTGCTTTCATTCATAGTTCATTCATTCCTGTTTTCCTACTTTCACAGGGGGGTCTGGCGGCGGGGGGGGGGGACGGAGACGATTCGGCGGGCGCGAGGCGGACCAAGGGAGCGGCTGGTTCTCGCGTCGCCGGCGATGGGAGCATGGGAGCCGGCGACGGCAGTTCGTTGAAGCAGTCGGGGAAGAGCGTGGTCGACATCCTCAGGAAGCACTGGGCTCAGGTTGGAGCGGCCAGCACGGGCCATGGTGGTGGGGGTCCCGCCGACGAGCATGCCACTGATGACGCACTGCCAATGGCTCCGCCTTCGGTCGGCGTTAAGCCACCACGACAGGGTAGCGGTGTGAAAGGCCTGCGCGACAAGGAGAAGGCCGCCGCCAAAACGGCCCCAGGCGGGTCCGCGAAAGCTGGCCAGGGCCCGAAGACAGGGGTTGCGGAGGCGTCAGCGGTTCCTCACCAGTCTCCCGCGGGTGCACGCCATCCGACCGGACCGTCTGCCGGGCGACCTACCGACGTCCCGCGCCATGCCGACGTACCGTCTGCCGACAAGGTTGGCCGCGCGGGAAAAGGGGCGGCAGTTGCGGACGCGCTCAAGGAGCAGCTCAGGCTCCTAGCCGGCCACAGGGCTGTTCAACAGGCCCCCCCTGCTGTCGACGTCCCATCGGCCAGTGGGCCACGTGTAGTGCCGGTCGTCGCCGCCCGTACTCCTGCAGACCCAAAGTCCGTGTTGTTGCGCGCCCAGCTGGGCGCACTAGCGTCGACTGAGAGGACTCAGCAGGCTTCTGGCTCTGGCTCTAAGCCGTCGTCGGCGAATGTCGCACCACCCACCCATGTGGCAGCTGATGTGGAGAAGGCGGCGGAGAAGGGCGTTCGTGCCGCGCTTGCCACCGGCGGCGGCGCCGTTGAGGAGGTCCCCGCAGACGCTGATATCGCTGCCATACAGGCCCATCTGGATGCAGCCAATCCCCGAACCCTGGCCATCTCCGACACGGAACATGTGGAGCCTTCGGCGGGACTCGTCGGCATCGCGGCAGAGCCTAGTGCGACCGGTGATGCGGTCGGTGAGGGAAAGTCGAAACGGAAGGGGAAGGCGGGCTCACAGAGGAAGACGCGGGAGAAGTCGGAGGTGAAGGCGGCGGATAAACAGAAGGGGATGGCGGCGGAGACGGCGGCGGACAAAGATCGAGGCGGCATTGGGGAGGTTGAAGGGAAAGGGGAGAATCAGAAGTCGCACGGCGAGGGTACGTCGACGGGGAGGAAGGGGAAGGACAAGTCGGTCGGAGAAGGTGCGTCGACCGGGAGAAAGGGGAAGGAGAAGGCGGTCGGCGAGGGTTCCTCGAAGGGGAGAAAGGGAAAGAGGAAGGCGGAGGAGGAGGATGAGGATGTCGAGGAGGTGGAGGAGGTCGAGCAGGAGGAAGAGGAGGAGGAGGAGGAGGAGGAGGAGGAGGAGGAGGAGGAGGGGAAGGGCAAGGAGAGGAGGGGTCATGGCATCCGACACGATACCTCGGGCGACAAGCAAGGGTGGGTCGGCGAGATTAAGGTGCACGGCATCAATCGATACATCGGCAAGTCGCGGGACAAGATGGAGCTCGCGTACGTTCACTCCATCGCGTACGTCGTCTACGACGGTTTCGTGAGCAAGGTGCTCATGACCGAGCTCACCGGCTTGGACAGCGCCGAATTGGAGAGGTGGAAGGAGGTGTGGGAGGAGGTCAGGATCTTGCCGACAGGGATGTGGACGGTGATGTGGGCCCGGGGTACGCTCCTTCTAAAGACACGGTAAGTCGGCAATCCTCCGATTCAAAGTCGATGTCGTTGTCGTTGTCACTCATGTTCCCCCTGTTTGTGGTGGCGTGACAGGCTGACGGAGATCCTCGACGCGTATCGCCATTACAAGTCCACAGGCGATTGTCTCCACGCCGCGCTCCTGCCAGCGATATGGTACCCAGTCGATGCTAGCACCGAGGAAGGCCGGGAGAAGTCGGCGTCCATGATGTCGGCGATGATAGGCCGCGTGTCAATGTGCGCTGCATATGGGAAGACCGCTGCGGCAGCGGCGAAGAAGGAGGGAGACAAGGAGGAGAAGACGGATATGGCAGCATGGGCGTTAGCAGCATCCGCATGCGCTGTGTGGTGCTTCGTCGAGAACGGCGATGCCCAGCTGGCGGATGCTGTGGAAGAAGGGAAGTCGGCGGCGATCATCGGCGCAGCGAGCCAGGCGACCGCCGATGTATTCGGAAAAGTCATGGAGGCGGTGCTGAAAGCCGAGATGAACAGGGACCGCCCCTTGGGAGAGGTTGCCTACAACGTCGCGCCAGCACTCCAGAGGACCGCCCTTGATACGGTATATCCGGGGGGGAATGCTGGAGTAGATGCCGACGTTATCGCTAGAGCGACGGTTGAGACGATGGCGTTTTGGGGAATGTGCCCCGTCACCGGGCCGAAACTAAGAGCGAGGGACATCGCGGTGCCGATTGACGCGCAGATGAAGGCCGATCTTGACAACAGGGGGAGGAAGGGTCTGAGGGGCAAGAAGGGGACGAAGACCAAGGGCGGCACGGAGAAGGTTAAGAAGTCGAAGAAGGACAGCACGACGGCCTAGTCGACGGCATGCTAAGATTGAGTGCTGCGTGGACTCGATGATGAAATGGTCGATACCGTTTTCCTTGTTTTGGCTGTCGGATCCCTTTGATGCTCTTTCTTTGTGCGTGCCTGTCTACTTTACGTAGGATGAGTAATGAACACATTAGCTAGTAATGATTGTCTACTTCAATTTGAACGACACGTGAATGCCCCGCTAGGCCGAGAACAACAGGATCATTGAGAGAAACAAAAAGTCGACATCAGTATCAGTATGAAACATAGGCATGCTGCATCAACATCTACAACATGCAACAGGCCACAGTAGCAGGAGGCCTGGGAACATTCAAGCGGTTTTCTTGCGCTTGGTCGACTTATTGGTCGGAGGCAGCTGCCCGGCGTCGTTTTCGCGGGCCAGGTCGGCCAACGTCTTCTTCATCTGCTCAACCCAGGTGTCCGGGAACAGGTCGGCGACCCACGTTTCGGGCTTGAGCCCGCGCGCCACGAACGCACAGGCGACACGAAGCTTGGAAAATTCCGTCTTGCCGAGCCCTTTGACGCCCTTACCCTGCCCAGCATAGGTCGCTACGGCGTCCGCGTTGAGCACCGTGAGGGCATCCGCGAAGGTCCCAATGCCAGGCGCCGCTATCTTGTTAAGCGCGTCGACGGTGGCTTCCGTGTCGGCTTCGCCGTCGCTCCTGCGAAGCTGGCGCACCGCATCGATGACCTTCATCATGCGGCGCACCCTCTTCCCGTGTGCTCCCTGCGAGGCTCCGTCGAGGAGGGTGTGGCGGTCGACGAATCCCGGCTCCCTGAACCTGTCGCACAGACGACGGGTGTCGGCGCTGGTGCACGAGGTCCAGAGGCGCCACGCGTCCTTGACGGTCGTTGCAGTCCGCCAAGGCTGCACTACGTTCAGCTCGTAGGTAGCCTCCTCGACCGTCTGTGGGGGTTTATTGGGTTTGTTGGCTCCTCCACCCCTGCTTGCCGACTCCGCGGAGCCACCGTCGCTCGGCGACTGGTCGTTAGCAGCTGGCGGCGCCTCCGGCATCCTTCGAGCTTCTGAAACGCGGAGAGCCTCGGTGAGGCGTGTTATCTCGCCCGCGAGCGACGCGATGGTTGCGTCGCGATTCTCGATCTTCTCCTCGAGGTCGAGCTTCTGGACCGTTGACCGCTCCCTCTCGAGCTTAAGCGTCTCCGTGAGGGAGACGACCGCGAACTGGGCGTCATGGCGGACCGATATCTCCTGCAATGGTATGCGAATAACGGTGCAGATGAGGGGTTGTAGCGGTCAGAGATAACATCGTGACGTCGGCATAAAAGATGACCTACCTCTGGCTGGATGAGGGTTGGATCTTGCCGCTTTTTTATGGTGTCGGTGTCGGTCTTCTCGACCCTCTTCGCCCAGTGCTGGAAGAGGGGAATCCGGCAGAGCTTGGAATACTGGATGTACGGGTGCCAAGGGGTGCGGACGAGTTTCACCGCGAGGTCCTCGGCGACAATGCGGCGGAACATCAGAAGGGTGCGCCAGAAATGCACGGCCGCAACGTCGGCGTCGGACCCCTTCTTCGCGAGTTCTTCTGCCTGCAGTTAGACATCAGACAGGGGTTATTTCCATGGTGGATAGGACAGTACCATGCAAGATTGGTCGGCACCGATAAACAAACCTTGTTGAGGAGGTCGTCGACGTCGGGGAAGATGTGCTCGGCGATGAGAGCGAGGAGTTCGTCTCCCGGTTCCACCCTACTGCGACCCAAGAAGTAGTCCTGCGTGAATCCCGAATAGCCGGCCTTCTTCATCACCACGCCGACAGGAATGGACGTGATGTAGGCTCGAGTCATCTTGTCGAGAGCCCAGTGACCCAGCTCGGCTATCTCGGCGCGAGGCGTACCTTGGATGGCCAACTCCTGCGCCCCGCCCGCCCGAGCGGCATGGACGTTCCGCTTGCAGAACACCCCGTTCGTCTTCCACATCTGCCTTGTCCATCGCTGGTGGCTGGGAGCTGAGAGTTCGCCCTGCTCGGAGTCGTTGCGTGCGAAGAACAGGTGCTTCTTGTACCAGAGCTCGCGTGTGCTGGTGTCGACCGGCGGAATGAGGTCGACTCCGTGAAACTGGCCGATCTGGTCGAGGACGAAGTGTAACCACAGCCCGGTCTCGCCGACGGCGCACAACTCCGCTTCTAGGTGCCGCGCCGCGTAGCTCTGTTGAAGACGCGCATCCTTCGACGTCTTCGAGTTCCGCGCGGCGACCACCATGACGACCGGCTGGTTATCCGGGTTCACCGACGAGGTGCTCGCCAGTCGGTACAGGAAGATGTCGGGGAGCGTTATCTCGCGTATGCTTGCACCGCGCATGAGGCTGTGGTGGGAGAGCAGCGTGAGCACCTTGATGAGAAGAAACCTCCACAGCGTCTGCGAAGGTGTGGTGAAATGCGGGCTCCATGCCGACGCCGCCCAAGCCGGCAGCACCCTCGTCATTATCTGGCGGAACTGTTCGGCGGTGTATGTGTCGCCGATGGTGCCGCGTCGACGGTCGGCGCATTTACTGTCGACATAACAATATATGGATATGAATATTAGGGCGAGGAAACAAATCGATGGCGACATAACACGGCGATGCATGCCAACTTACTCTAGGTCCCTCTGATTTTTCGTGCGGACAATGACCCGCACCTCCGACCGGACCACCGAGATTTCCCGCATGATGCCCAACTCCTTCTCCTTGAAGAGCGTCGCCTCCACCCTCGCCGCCATCTGGCAGGCCTTGATGCGGCCGAGGATCATGTGCACCGTGTAGGCTCGCACTGGCTCGTTCGTGTCGGCGTCGATCCTGTACTCCCGCCTCATGAACTTGATGTAGGCGCGCAGTCGCGTACTAGTGACCCGGGGGCCGTGCAGCCATATGTGCTTCCGCTTGACCACCTTCTCGTTGTCCCAATCCTTGCTCTTGTTGCTGTGTGTCCAGTGCCCTATCTCGTCGACGTGCCTCATTTGTTCTGCTGTCGGCAGTTTGTCGCCAATTTTTTTAAGCATCTTCGCCGTCCACCTTTTGTAGTCGTATATCCATGAGGTGTAGGACTTGAGCGTGCTCTTGGCCTCTATGGTTTTCAGGTGGCGCATTGCCTCCATCACGAGCACGTCGACGCACGCGTACACCATATCTTCCTCTACGAAGTCGGCCGCCTTCCACATTTCTCGAGGGACCGACGTGTGCAGCAGATCCTCAAGCTCGTTCTTGTCCAACAGTTCCTCTATGAACGCACGTTCCCCCCTGAGTTTTTCTTCCAACGTGCGCGGACCTGCACCACGTCGGGGCCGCGGGTCGTCTTCGTCGTCCTCGTCGCTCGCCGATGAATAATCGTCCTCATCCTGGTCGCCCGATCCGTCCGGCACAGACGACGGCCCGGCCTCCCCTGCATCCGTCGGCGTCGACGTTTTGCGTGGTTTCGTGAACTCCCCTATCGGCGCGGGCGGAACGTCCTTGGTGAACTCTCCCTGCGGGATTTGGGCCAGGGCGTCGAGATCGTAAAGCAGCGGCAAAGTCGACGAGGGGTTACTGGTCGGTGTACGGTCTACCGGGCGGACGTCCTCATCCTGGCTAGCGGGGTTCATGACGTCCGTCATGTCGACATCGGCGGGGGGTGGGTTGGTTTGCGGCGGTGTCGAACGAGGCTGTCCTCTGGCCATGATACCGCGACCTAGGGCGATGGGAAGTCGGCGTGGTGAGGTCGATAAACTACTTAATGCGTATTCTATGTCGGCGGTATCTGGCAGGTCGGGACAGCAGACAATCCTACGAGAGGTCGGCGACCACGTCTGCCTACTATCACGACGCCGACGTTACGCCTCTAGAGAAAATCCAAGTGCCGGCCGTCAAGTCAGCGGTAAAAAAAAAGAAGCAATGGCACACACAATGGCAGGCGGAATGAGCGACCATTTCGGGGACCACGGATGGGGATGGTCGTGAGCGACTCCGCACCACTTGGCGCTCCACGCAAACCCCAGTGCACGACGCCGCCATGCATGTACGCTCGTGCGGCGGCGCCGTGTCCGACGTGCCACCAGGCGTGCATGGCTGCTTGCTTGAAGCGCTTCGCTCATCATGCTCTTTTCGTGGCTGCTACACGCTGGCTCTTTCGTGCGGCAACGTGGCGTGGTCCCGAATTAGGTGCACCTCGGTAGGTCGAGGTCGGGAGACACTGCCGTGTGGCACCACGATGATGCTCTTCTGGTCGACGCCGACATGTCCCGCATCATCAGTGTCCACTGCACGTAGCCATAGATAGTGGACGGCCGGATTTCTCCTTGCGCATGTGAGCAACCGTTGGATGAATGCCGTGTGGTATGCACCGACATTGCCACGTTCATGCGCGAGATTCTCCCAAGCGAAGCACCCCGACCTTCCGTTGGCCCGTCGTGTCCAACCTGGCAGACCTAGGTGGCCCCGCCATCCAGGGGACTATCTCGGGCGTCCCTTTGACGTCGACGTGGCGATCATCGCGGCCCGACTTGCCGAGCTGGTATTCTGACATGCGGCTGAGACGTCCTTCTCGGGATTGTCTCAGCGAAACTTTAGGTCGACAGGTCGTCGACCATCCCGAGGGCTCACCAGCACCGGGCCCAGCCAGATAGGCTGGGCTTTCCACGCGGAGGTCGTCGTGGGGTCGTCAACCACGAGGAAGGGGGTTGTCCGTTCTGAACCGCGAAAATGGGCGGCAGTTTTCGTCGGCTGAGCTATATTATGCTGTCCGCGTCGTACGACACGAATTCGTTGTTCCCCAGGGATCGAAGCAGAGGGTCGAATGGCGTGATACGCGAATGCCAGCATTCTTCGGCAATTTTCAAGGCGGTTCTCGTCTCGTCTCGGGCATGATTGTCCCCAAAATCCACGGAGCTGTGACATGTACGCACTATAGAGGTCGAATTTCTGGTGTTTCTAAAAAAACGTGTAAGTACAAGGTAACAACTGCCTAAAATTGCAAGGTTAGTAAACATAAAAATAGCTAAAACATGAAAAAAGCCA